TGTTATGTAGGCCTATGAGTAAGAGGGGATATGTTAAACTAGGTAATGAAATGAAGTGTATAATATTACCTCGGACGTCCCGCATTGTCCATGCAGTCTCCGTGCAGCGCCTGTTTTTTTTTTGTCCACTGTTGTCCCTGGTATAAGCTGACCGAAATTACAGTACACCACGTTTTTTTTTTTTTTAATGTACACTTTTTATTAATTATTTAATTTACACTTTTTCTTTTATTTTTTTTTATTAAGCACTAATATAAAAATTTAAATCGACATGTACATTGTAAGCGCTTGCATAGAAATAATAAATAACAGTAGAAAAACTTTTTCTTTTTTTAACTTCGTTTGCTTTGATTTGCAAAATCGCTGTGAAAGCCCTGTATATATTCCGAGCTTGCAAGCTCGGAATTCGTATACATACAAATGTTAGTAACGACAGAAGGCGAAAAGTGTTTCTAGCCCGCGAGGAATGGTAAGTAAATAAAAAGCTTAAGGGAGGGCAGTTGTTGTGTCTATCTGTTAGTAATTCAGTGCCCTCAGAAGCCGCTAGTAGCACAGTAGCTAGCCTAGTATGCTAGGATACCTTGATTTAGAGGTGAAGTTCTTTTATTTAGAATATTTTCTTTTATTTATTTTAGAGGTGAAGTATGCTTTTATTATCTCTTCCAAGCCAGTGAAAAAGCGATCCCGAAGACATTGAAGTCGCTTTGTTTGAAGTTCTGGACAGAGACACAGGAAGTGGTTGATAATTTCTATCTCCTCTTCATCTTGGCAACCCCTGCATAATCCAGTTGGAACTTTCCACCGTTGGAGAATAGGCGTAAGTACATGAACTGCAGGTTTGCTGAACCCTAAAAGACTTTTTGTTTTATTTTTGACCAACCTAGGCCATAAGGTTCTAGCGACCTCACAGTGTTCGCGGTTAGCCCATAAATTGTTAGTCACCGTACTGGTTAGTCACCGGCCTCTCCTGTATGCAATTCAGAACCTCTTTTGGTCGTCCCATCTGCTAGTTCATTTCTATTATAATAATTAAATATAGTTGTTAATATGTTATTATTATTAAAGTTAATTGTTACAATAATTTATTAAGTATCACTTTCTTGTATGGAATCTGTTGTTCATCTTGTTTTCTATTCGATTGCTCTGATCTTGCATATTGTTTTCCTTTGTCTACAGGTTCTTCGATTTCTTCATCCCTCTTTAGTACTTCATCTCGTTCTGGGTCTATTGCCATAGTTATGTTGTTTTCTGTTAATTCGTTTCTTTTCATTACATGTAGACTGTTTCGTTTGTAATGTTGTGGTGACTATAACATAAATGTTCTATTTGTGTCTTTTTGAAGTAAGTTGCCCAGTTTTCATTTGGATTCACCTTTATATATAAATGGTCTCCTTCCTTTAGATTGTTTTCCCTTCTCGTGCCTTTATCATAATATTGATTTGTATATCTTTTCTGCTGTTGTATACGTTCTGACACATCTGTTATCACTTCTTGTTCTGTATCGTTGTTGGGTATGTGACATCTCAGCCATCTGCAAAACATTCGTTTTCCTGGACTTGATCGAATCTTGTTTTTCCATATTAGTTGTGCTTTAGAAATCAGTGTTCGATTCTATAGCGGTTTTTATGAACTGTTTTACTATTTTTACTACTGCTTCTCTTTTACCATTTGCTTGTTGATGGTATGGGCTCGAAGCACGATGTTCAAATTCCCACTCTTCTGCGAATTTTTTGAATTCTGTATTAACAAAATTTGTACCATTGTCTGTTAAAACTATTACTGGTATGCCGTATCTGCTGAAGTTTTTTCTACATAAATATATTGTTGTTTTTGGTGATAAATCTTTTAATTCATCAATCTCGAAAAAATCCGGATAATGGTCTACAGTTATCAAAAAATATTTTCTCTGATTGTTAATGTTCTTCTCGAATACACTAATTGATATTATTTCAAATGGTGATGTAGGAGTATCTGTTATTATCATTGGCTCTCGTTTTTGCATTTTGGCATTATGTTTACAAACCTCACAATTTTGTATCATTTGCCTTATCTCGCTTATTATACCTTTCCAAAAAACTGTTTCACGAGCTAATTTCAGTGTAGATTCTATTCCCAGATGTGGTAAATGTAATTTTTGCAAGATGTCATTTCTTATGTCTTTTGATATGCTGCCTCGGTTTCATTTGAATACTATTTTATCATTGACTATTAACTCATCTCTAAAATTCCAGTATTGTTTGATTTCTTCCGGTACATAATGTTTTTGTTCTGACCAACCTTTTTTGATTATGTTGATCAGACTCTTCATGACTCCGTCTTCAGCCGTTGTTTGTTTAATTTTCTGAGTCGTCTATGTGCATATGCGTTTATCTTCTTTTTCGTCCAGTGTAACCTTTAGCTGTTCTCGTAACGATACAGAAATACGTCTTGGTGCTTTATTTCTCGGTGGTATATTGTTATCTATTTCGAGTAAAAGTTTTCCTTTAATTTTACCTAGCCCTTCAAATACATCATTGTATTTGTTAATTATCATCTGTGCCTTTTCGTTTTCAACATTTACTTTACACTTTTGCAATTTTTTATAAGCTCCATCTCTTGACATGTTTGAGCTGATAGTAATGGACAGTGTTCAGTTTCGACCACATAAAATATTAATTTGTGCTTTCTATTTCTGTTTTTTAATGTTAGCTGCACCGTGCTGGTTGGCATTATACGCGTTCCGTCAAGGGTTTTTAATGTTGTTTTAGTGATTCTCGTAACAGGGTCTGGAAATATTTCTAATATATTTTACCGTGATAATCGTATCCGCAAAACTTACACAATCCCTTTTGGGTATTACTGTGGTGACGCTTCTTGCGTTTGTCAATTTTATTGACTTCGAATGATAATGATTCAATTCTGCGAAGTTGTTTTTCTGTTACTTCTTTTGATCTGCAGATATCGATAGCTTTATTAAGCGTTATGTTTTCGTCCAGCCACAGTCTTTCACGTAAATTTTGATCTTTTATTGAACACATGATTTTGTCTAACATTAAATCATTCTCAAGCGGACCCTATTGTGCATTTTTGATGAGACCGCGCAATTTGTTAAAGTATTCATCGTATGTTTCGTGTTGTTCTTGTTTACTTGTTTTCGCGTTTTATTCCCATGCTTGCGGCTGTGCTGCAACTCAACTGGCTTATAAACAATAAATTTTAACTAAATCTAAATAATAAAATACTCCTGTATATGGCAATTACTAAAACCATTTGGACTTATGGAATCCAAATTTGGGGAACATCAAAAAAATCCTACAGGAACATGATACAAAGACAACAGTCAGAAATACTTCGCCAAATCACAAACGCACCATGATGCATACCCAACAACAACATACAAAAATATCTTTAATAAACTCGACATTATTGAATAATTTATCGACATAAAATAAATAACAAAGCAAATAAAAAAAAAATTATTTGATTTCTTCATATATAAATGTTTCTTTCAGTTCTCCTGTATGGTTGCGAAACTTGGTTTGTTACGGAAAACATACAAAGCAAGCTGAGAGTATTTGTCAACCACTGTCTCTGCAGAATTTTGCGTATTTTCTGGCCAAACAGAATATCGAATCAAGACCTTTGGGCCGGAACAAATGTAAGAGTTGTCAACCTTGAAATTCGCAAAAGAAAATTTGGATGGATCGGGCATACACTTCGAAAGGCTACTACCGAAATTTATCAACAAGCGTTGATATACAACCACCACGGTAGCAGAGGAAGTGGTCGTCCAAAAACAACATGAAAAAAGTCAATGTAAAATAAAATAAATGCCGTTTTGTAGCCCCTAGGAAGAAGAAGCAACATAACTGATATAAAGGACGTGGCGTTGCGGCGCGAAAGGTGGAAACGACTTACAGATGCCCAGTATAAGAGGTTGCTCGGAATCATTGACATCGAGCAAGGCTTGTTATTATTATTATTATTTTTTATTCTAAATTTATAAATTATTTATTGAATCCTTTTGAAAACGAAACTAACAATGAGTGGATCAAACTTTAAACCTAAATTTATTTTTTCCCTAGGCCATTACTTTGGAAAAAACTATTGAGACATTAAATTATTTGTAATAAAATAAATAAAATCACATTCAATTCAATTAAATAAAATTTGTAATATTTTAAATCAAATAAAATTTTGAAAGTTAGCTGCTGTTAATGGTGTCTTTCTTTTTTGAACGTTTGTGGCCTTTATTCAGTAGTAGCTTGTAAGCTAATTGATTAGGGTGATCTTCTAACTTTAAAAGGTACTGACGGCTACATCAAGCAACTTCTTCTATTACTGTTGGTACGCCCAAGTCTCTATGAAGGTCAGCATTTTTCATAAACCACGGTGCACCTGTTATCATACTTAGGATTTTAGATGGCAGTCTTTGCATTTTTTTCAGTATTTGATGACATCGCTGTTCCCCACAGTTGAATTCCGTAACTCTATATAGGTTTTATTAGCGACTTGTATAGCAGAATTTTGTACTCAAGTAGTAGCTTAGATGTCGTGCCCATAACCCAATGCAATAAACTTAGTTTTATATTTATTTGTGTCTTTTTAGTCTCTATGTCTTTATATATCTAGATATATCCCTAAGCATCTTACATAGTCGCTCGAGGGTATTTTTGTTCCTTTATTATAATATTGAGACAATTGTCTGGTCTTAGAGAAATGTTACATGGGTACATTTTTGTTCATTGACTCTGATACGCCATATTCATAACCATTGCTCGAGTTGGCGAACATGATTTTGGAGCATGCGTTGTGCAATTACGGGATCTTTGTGTGCACTTAGTATTGCTGTATTGTCAGCAAATGTTGCAGTTAAACTGTTTTCGGAAGTTGGCATATCACTTGTATAAGTTATTTGTATCGAGTTGGCGGACTTTTTTAAAATAAAACACATGTCGCTTTCGGTTGAGAATTACATCTAAATTTCTTTATTGAATTAATATTGACTTGTGCGCTGCACTTACAAATTATTTTGCTTATTTTACAAATTTTGAATATAAGCTAATTTTTATTTATTATTTAAATACAATAACAATGTCAACACGCGCTTGCCTCTAGTTCTTTGCACCGCAATGGAATTCGCTATTGCGTAAATCGTTGCTGCGTTAAAGCGACAATTTTATTTATGCGCATGAAGTGGGTCACTGACATCGTAGTTACATATATATGCTGATCAGCACTGGTTAACTTATACAGTAGGTATAATAGCGGACCTTTTACATTTCCTTGGGGAACTCCTGCTTTAACCTTGCCCTAAGGTTCTGAAACAAAATCTTTATATCTTAAACTAAATGTTCTTTTACTTTAGTAGTTTTTTAACAAAAAGTGAGTGTCATACTATATCAAACGCTTGGGCTACATCTATAAATATAGAAGTCCAGCATTGTTTATTTTCAAATGAGTTTCTAACGAATGATACAACACAATGCACTTGTTTGTAAGGATGGAAATTTTGCACAATTTCCAACATACATACTACATACATACATACATGGCTTTATTATTATTGGTGAATCATCTGCAAGAAATAAAATGTATTAAAATTAACATTGAGATAATAAATAAATACCTGTAATCACTCCCCAGCACACTCGTCTACAGCATACTTCAATAGTTGGATGTTCCTATAAATGAATTTATTAAATATAATTATCATTTAGGAAATTGGAAAACAAATATAAATACCTTTGCACTACCACTTCACTCACGTCACTTGGAGTTATTTAAACAAAAAAAAACTTCGTTTATATAAATAGTTTTATTAAATTATTTATTAAAACTCCGATATCTTTAACTAATTTTATTTATTTTAATAAATTTTATTCAATTTAAAAAAACGCGCACATGCAAAAATTACGAGTAGTTATAAAATCAAAACAAAACAGGCAAACGTCAGAAACGTCAATAGAATTCGCCGCAAAGACGATCAAAATTTGCTGAACGCACAACTTTGAAAACAGTATGAAAACAAGAAACAGAAATGGAAAAATAAACAAATCACCACCAAACAATAGAAAAAACGTTGTATGCGCGCTACACAAAAAGCTCGTCTGATCAGTATTAAAGACGATGCTTTTTGTTAAGAAGGGAGTGAGTCTTGTATGATCACTCGGTGGCATTATATGTCAACACATTAAATCAATAAAATCAATCAAATAGTGTCTGACACAACGGCGGTTTTAAGCCAAGTGTATAATATACAAGAAATATACATATAATTGCTTACACACATTAAGGCGGTTGTAAACCCATATACGTGAACGCTATTATATATATGTTATATGCAATTATAACAACAATATATATTTTTTTTTGTTTACTAATCCCTTTTCTTCCCCCAAACAGGTAGAGTACACACAGCAAGGGACCTAGAGCAAAGCCAACACATCAATATTTTTCTCAAAGCAGATACCGAGAAGTACAAGACAATGGGCGTAGATTTCAAAGAACTTCACGAGGCATCATCAGTCTGGTCACCAAGATATTTCACAGCCACAACGAATCATATTAAATTCTATTTCTTTTCTGAAAATTGTTCATCACTTATATATTATTTTTTTATTTGAATTATTTTAATAAAGTCTCTTTGTTTTAAAATGAAATTAACATATTTCAATTGAGAAGTCCTGTCCCCGCAAATATAAATTTATTGTAGCGACCCCTGGAAAAGGCTGAGGTCACCCAGCAATAGAGTTTAACGAACCGGAAAATCCGTGGTGTTACAAGTTGTACTACGTTTAGCTCAGAAACCGAATTGATATTCTCGAATTATTTCGTTAGCGAGTATTGGCATTATTTTTGCTATTAGCAGCTTTTTAAATATTTTTGATTATACTGGAACGACGATAATTGGTATGGTCTGGTTTTGTCTTTCCCAGCTTTAGGTATATTAGGTATAGGTTATTTGTGACATTTTCCAAAGCTTGGGATAATAACCTGTCCGTAAGCTAGCGTAAAATAAATGCCTGAGCAGTAAAATGGTACATTGTGATAACTGTTTCACCATTGCATTGAGATCTTTTATAATTTTAATGATATTTTCTAGTTTAAAGATAAGTGGACTGCTCGAGGGATATAGGTTTGTAATTGGTAAAAAAATGTTTTTTGAAGCATCATTTGAAGTATATACATTTTTCGAGTGTTTAACAAATATATCCCCTTTCTCAGAGTCATTTCGTGCTCAGTCACCATTTTCTAGTCTAAGAGGAGATGTATACTGGATAGGCTGTTTGAGGTACTTTGTTGCCTTCCAAAGTGAATAGTCACATTGTTCATTAGGTCTTTCCGCTAGTGCATATTTGAGTTCATTAGTACATTTAGCAAGTAAAACTATATGTTTTGGGGATCTATGCCGTTGCCATAGTTTTCTAGATTCCCCTTCCGTTATAATACTGCCACTGTTGTTTTTGTCACACCAATTTTTTGGGTTGTTTTTTCAGTTCTTATCGAAGCTACTTCAGCACCCGTGGAGATTACTTCAGAAAATTGGTTAACACAAGCATCAATTTCAATATTCACTTTTAACAAATCATGTTGTGGTATATGGCAAGAAACATATTTACGAAATTTTAACCAGTTTATATATTTCGTTAGACTTTGCGTTTGGATAGTTCTATTCTGTTGACTTTAAACTGTTATTATTGTTGGTGAGTGGTCTGATGACAGTTCAACTGATGGAAATGCGGTGATTGTTGATAGTTTAATATTTTTGCTTAGGCCAAAGTCAATAAGATCTGGAATTTTTTGTCGATCAAAAGGCCAATAAGTTCGCTGTTCAGTTGAAATAACATCGACGTCGTTACTTTTCACAACTGCTAGAAGTTTCCGTCCTCTTAGTGTTATTAGTCTTGAACGCCAGAATGTGTGCTTGGCATTAAAATCGCCCGCAAATAGAAATTTAGAACCGAGTATTTTAAAAAGTCTTGGACTTCTATGTTGTGGTTGGGTGGACAATATATTGCAGCTATTACGACATTTTCTCCATATTCATTAAATCGAATAGCTGTTGATTGTCTTCTAAAACATAGTATTTAAGTCTTTTTTTTATTATAATACTAGTACCAGTATTATTATTATATGAATTTATTTATGACGGACTCGCAGGTGAGACTAATCCCAACTATTCACCCCCTTCGAACAGAGGGCCTCCACGTGGTGATCCGTGGTAACACACCCCTCCCATCCCTAAATATTCCTACCTATAAAATCAATCCAATATCCTTATCACATCCTTTCTCACTTCCATCTTCCCCCAATCCGGAATTGCGGATGGGAAGGCGTTGAACTCACCACGTGTATCGTGGACAACATACCGAGCTTACATATGATCTACCTACAAAAAGCTGAAGGTGTCCACACAGAAAAACTGCTAAAGCTACTCATAACACAGAATGGGGGCCTACATACTCAGCTGTGGAGAGTTTTCAGCAGCAGAGATATATAAAATGGCAAACTCCTAACAATCGGTATTGATAACCGGTCTCAGGAAGCCATAAAAACAAACGGCTGTAGGATCTTGTACAGGTTCAGCTCAGTCCTGGTCCCACTGCATAAGGGGTAACAGAACAAGAAGGGAAGTATCTCAGCTGGGGAAACCACACCAGCTGAAGGTCCGATAACTGCAACTGTTGCAGAACAAGTGGAGGAGGAAGCGACGAGGAGCGAGAAGGTTGAGGTAATCAGTGTGCTACCTCACGAAAGTGACGACATTGAAAACTAAGATCTCTCCGTACTAAACTTGGCGTCTGGCAGAATAAGCGAAGGAAAAATAACCACTTGATGACTAGCACTAAAGTCGCCCAAATAAATCTACACCATGCAAAAGCAGCATTGGCAGTTATTACAAGGGCTACGTTCAAATCGAATTTGAGCATAGTGCTGGTCCAAGAACCCTGGATCCATTGGCGTCGAATCTGTGGTTTGACTGCAAGGAATATGCAGACAATCTGGCATGTAAGATGTGATAAACCAAGAACCTGCATTTTATTGAATACTAATATTAATTTTATCTGCCTTTCAAAATTTTTCTCCAGGGATCTCGTTGCCATACAAATTCCGGCCAACATCAACGGAGTTTTACGGAACGTGGTCGTAGCTACAGGCTATCTACCAGGAGACGACACTCAGGTACCATCTGCAGAGGTCGATATACTGGTGGACTGCTGCGAGAGAACGAAGATGCGACTTATACTTGGCTACGATTCAAACGCGCACATCGAAGTATAGGGAAGCACAAATACCAATACAAGAGGTGAGTACCTTTTAGATTTTATAATTAGTAAGAAATTAGAAATATGTAATGTAGGTAAAACACGAACATTTGTAACGAACTCAAGCAAAGAGGCCCTAGATATTACTATAGGAAATACTCGAGGCTGTGAGCTTGTCAAAAACTGGAAAGTATCCAGTGAATCTTCCATGTGTGATCATAGAATCCTAAGGTTCGATATTAAAGGCTCACCAATTAGCAAGAAAACCCTAAGGGACCCAAGAAAAACAAATTGGGTTACCTATACGGAAAATCTGAAAAGAAATCTTGACCAACTAGGACTCGATGAAATCATTCAGAATGAAATTCAATTAAAAAGTAACCTAGAAAACCTCAATAATTCCATATTAAATGCATATAAGGATAGCTGTCCATTAAGCACGAATAATTCCATCAAGGATGTGCCTAGAATGCCTAGAATCAGGTGGGCGATTACTTCGCTCAAGCCACTGAAATCTCCAGGTATTGATGGTGTCTTTCCGGCACTATTCGAAAAAGGAATTGAACAGCTAATAGGTCCGATAACTAGAATAGCTAGAGCCAGTATTGCACTGGGCTATATACCGACTACATGGAGAAGGGCAAAAGTGGTCTTCATTCCGAAGGCAGGTAAGAGGGATCCTACTCACCCGAAATCCTTCAGACCAATCTGCCTTACATCCTTCCTACTTAAAGTAGTAGAAAAAGTCGTAGATAATTATATCAGGAGTACTACACTGAAAGAAACTCCACTATACAGCTACCAATACGCCTATAGGGCAGGTCATTTGGCAGAAACGGCCCTATATCAACTAAGCAACACGATTCAGGACAGCATAGATGAGAAAGAAATAGCAATCTACGCTTTCTTAGATATTGAAGGAGCCTTTGATAACACTTCACATGAGGTCATAAACTCAACTCTTTGCAGAAGAGGAATTAATGGCACATTTTCACGCTGGATGAGCAACATGCTTCGCACCAGGAGAGTAGAAATTCCGACCAGTAATGGCAATCCTTTTGCAAACACTTCACGGGGGTGTCCTCAAGGTGGAGTATTATCATTCCAAATGTGGACTATGGCAGTGGATGAAGTATTGGTGAAACTGGATAGGAATTGCTTCCAAATCCAGGGATACGCAAATGATGTGATAATAATCTGCAGAGGAAAATTCGGACATACTCTGTGCGAAAGAATCCAGTTAGGCCTAAAACTAACAAAAAAATTGTGCAATTCTGTTGGGCTGAAAATAAATCCAGCAAAAACAACCATTGTGCCATTCATGAGAAAATACAAAATAAAAAATCTTAAATTCATCCGCTTAGATGGACTAGAAATAAAATCATAAAAGAAGGTAAAGTTTTTAGATATAATTTTAGACCAAAAATTACTATGGAAATCTCACATCCAAGAAATAACAAAAAAGGCAACCAAAGCCTTTATGACATGTAAATCCATCACAGGTAAGAATTGGGGATGTACATCAGTCATTGCGATATACACAACAATAATCAGACCTATGGTTAGTTACCGATCAATAGTCTGGCAAAATTGCACAAAACAGCAAAGCGTTATCAACACACTCAACAAGGTACAACGTCTT